CAACGCGCGCCGCAGCCCCTTCTGGAGGCTCTGGGTACTGCGCCTGCGGAGAGAGAGGGGGGCCCAGCGGCGACAACGCGCGCCGCAGCCCCTTCTGCAGTCTCTGGATGACAGGCTCTGGGAGTGTGAGTGAGTGAGTGAGTGAGTGAGTGAGTGAGTGAGTGAGGGGAGTGAGTGAGTGAGTGAGTGAGTGGTGAGATCTTGTGTTGTGTCAGTGAGTGAGTGAGTGAGTGATGTGAAGAATGAGTGAGTGAGTGAGTGAGTGAGTGAGTGAGAGTGAGTGAGCGACGGAGGAGGGGGCGAGGAGGACGGAAGGACCGGCGGATGCGGGCGGGATGCCAGCCAACAAAACTAGAACCCCACACAGAGATGTGGGGAAAAACATATCTATATAGAAAGGGTGGCACGACTTCATTTTATACAACACGCGCGCGCGTCGTTTCTCTACAAAATGCAGAGATGTCCCACAAACCTCAGCAGTCAAAGTAACACTTTGTGGAGAAGCAAGTTCTTTTTCTCTACAAAATGGCACCTTGTGTCTATAGAATGATACGAATTTTGCATGTTGTAGAGATTTTCACTGCTGCAAACTGAATCAAAATGAAATTAGTGGCGCTTGGCTCCACCAAATGTGCAACCCTCCCAAAACGCAACTTTTACAGGACCAAACCTGGGTCTCTACAAAATGATCGCTCAGTAGTGGCCTCAAGGTTTTAGATTAGACACTTCAACGGGGATCATTTTGGATCCTTTTGGCTGCTTTTTTACGCATGAAAGGACTGAAAAGGCAGAAATGTGTCACAGTTGGAAGATCCAGGCGGCTACTGTCGAGGAGAGAGGAGAGGTGAAGCTGGCGACCCATGGCCGGTGATCATCGTGTCAGGAAGCCCGCACCCACAACACCTCACAACCACCCGCCGAAGCGCACATGACGAGCTTCCGACGAGCTCCCCCAGACATCGCCCGGAGATCACATGAAAACACATGAAAACCTTCCACGGAGGCCCTGGCCGCGTGCACTTCCAGCACCGGCTCTGGGCACTCCACGCTCACTGGAGTATGAAACTCAAACGGCCCTGTAAGGTCCGAGGTGGGTAATCCTACCGCCGTGTTTTGCTTGTCAAAAGAGACAGGGGAAGGGCGGAGCTGGTTTCCTGTTGAACGTGACTACCCCATCGACCGCTTCGGCCGGAGGGCCTGAATGAGATCGAATCAACAATGACATACACTCCCTGGAACTAACTTGGAAGTGGAGGTCACGCCTGTTTGGTATTCGGAAAATTGTCTTTCTTTCGGGGACATGCCAGCCACGTTGGCCCATTTTAGTTGCAGGGAGAGTTTTTGTTGCTTTGTGAGAAAACCCACACATCAGCCCAGTATAATTATTGTGTTCTTGCGTTCAGGGGCCATGTGAAGGAGGCTGTCGTTCAGACTGTGGGATTGGCTCAAGATGCACAGTGGACCACTCCAGGAGCTTTTGATGAGTTTTGAGTGGTAAGGCATATTTGAATTTGCTTCCCCCCCCCCGCGCCGAGAGGTGGGTGCTCTGCGTGCGACCTCAATCGGTGGGCCGAGCAAACGTGCACTTGACAAGCCCACGCTGCGATCCAGGCATATACGTGGGTCCCAGTGCCCCAAGGTGTTTCAGTTACGCTATCATGGTATGGTTTGTTAGTTGCATGTTCTGTTGCTGGAAGCAAAAGTGGCTCCGCCTATTGTTGAGTCATCTTTTGCGGTGTGCACAACATGCGCGGCGGAGCGCAAGCGCAATATGTGTTGTGAGCTGCGCATTGAAGCACACGACATGTTTCGTACGGCACAAAACATGTGGTGCGAGAGACAACACAAGCCCAAAATAAACCAGAATCAGC